GGATTTAGGTATCTCTTTTGGGTTGGTTAGGCCACAGATTACTTGGGCTGACTCCTAACTACATCAAAGTATTGAAAGTACTTAAAGTAGTACACAGTGGCTTAAAGTACTTGAAAGTTTGAGTAAAGTAGCTCAAAATTAACGTAAAGTACTTTAAATTACCGCGAAGTACTTCAAAGTAGCGTAAAGTACTTGAAGTAGAAAAGTCTGCCTTTTACCCCTTCTAGTAGCTTAAATATATGAAAACACTTCAACATGCCAAGAAGTACTTTGAAGTATGGTGAAGTACGATAAAGTACTGTAAAGTACCGTAAAGTACGGTTACGTACCGCAAAGTACCCCAAAGTATCGTAAAGTACCGTAAAGTACCATGAAGTATGGTAAAGTAGGGTGTGGATGTGGGTGGATGTTACTTCTTTTTGAACCACACCCTCAAGAAACTTGAAACTTGAAGAGAAAGTTTTCAATTGAATTGAAGTTTCGAGTATGACACTACTGCTACTTTTGAAAGTTGCATCTACCTTAAAGAAATAGTTTTATTCTTTTACAGATAGAAAACAAGTTTAAGTGCTCTTTAGCTAACGGCAAAATTGTAAGATGACTTTAATTGTCGAGAAGCTAACTTGTGGTGAATTAAACATAATAGGATGACGTACAAGTGAAGATACCTATAAATATCCCACGATCAACTCAAACATTACGTGATTATAAATTTTACGTTCCTCTTAGTTATGCCAGCTGGTTAACGATATTTTTTCTTTCGGGATGGATTTCAAAACTTCTGATACCAAAAATTGGGTACGTTCGTTTTTAACTTCTGTATCAACGTATCTAAGGAAACAAAATGATATGGTAAAAAAAAGATTCTAAATCTACTAATATCTTACAGATTTCTCTCTAAAAAAAACTTTCCAGTTTGGAAGTTTATTTTTTATTTACAAGGTCGAATTCAAATAAATTGGAAAATACAGAGATATAATTCATCCGAACTTGCGTAGTCTTAATTATACTCTTATAAAAAAAAGGAAATTAAAGCCAAAAGAGAAATTTTTTTGGAAACAAGCAATGACTCGAGCGGTATGTGGAATTTTAACAGTATGGGGTATGAGTGACTTTTTTTAACGTAAAATAACTCTCTTGTAAATGAATTTATATTATTCATATCTACCTATCTATCTATCTAGCTTTCTATCTTGCTTGGATTGATGAGCGACTTGGAATTGATCATGTAATAGCGACGACTGATGCATCATGGAAATTTATATCTTTTTTACTTGTTTTTTTTATATTTGAAGAATTAGCATTACTTTATTTCGATTTAAAATATCGTTCATTTTCAAAAGCATTACATTTGCATCATTTTTTTGCTTTTAATGGCTTCTTCTTGGCTGAATATTATAATTGTGGTCATTATTATGCAGCAAAACCATTCATGCTCAAAGCAGGTACACCGTTTCCTGTGTTTGTTGGTGTCTATTGAAACTAGAACTTGAAAAGACAAAGGCTTGGAAAATTGATCAATGGATATTAATTAATATTTTTCATATACGTTCTTTTCTTGAATTCTTATGGTGGTGTGATATCTACAGAGATTGGGATAATATTAAACAAAATCTTCCATTACCATATTTAATTAATATGTTAGTGGGTCTTACTCTTCTTTCTCTCTGGTTAACACCTTACTGGACATACAAAAAAACAGTACAATATTTCCATCCAACAGATTGGAATATAGAAAATACAAATAAAAGAAGTTAATGATAAGATCAGCAAGATGACTTAGGAAAAAGAAACTTTTAGAACGATGATCGATATTAGTGCATTTGAAAATTTTAATTCTTCGAATGCTACATTTCTAATATATTTTTATGTTTTACATTATTACTGTTTGACTTTCGAAGTAATAAAGAAAAAAGAATGAACATTATAAAAAAATTTTGATTATATCCAGAATTTCCCAAGAAAGCTCCTTCCTAAAACTTTCTCTTTTATCTCTGGTGCTTTATTTAATTTTATCAAGCATCTTTTTAGTAAAAGTAAGATGGATACACCGAGCTTTTATTTATAATTACAAGCAAATCTCCGCAGTACTGTGCTTAAAGTTAAGACATTGGATAGAAATATACTAATATAGCCTGTATTCTACTTCCAGAAAAACGTATGGATCATCTCTGGGTTGACTGCTTTAATTTTGAAAAAATGACTGAGGAAATTCAATAAAATAGGAGATTTAAACGAAAAAAACTTTTAGGAAAGAACTTTTCGAACATTCTGTGTATTATATAGAATTTTTTAAATTACCGAAGAACATCTCATTGAATTCATTTATAGAAAGGAATTGAAAAAAATATAAAAATTTTTTCAAATACTATTCGAAACTGCTAAAAATTCTTGATTGTGAGATCATATTCGGAAAAGACATGTTATGAATTCTTAATAGGGACTCTTTTGTTTATCGAAATATGTTCATTGGTAGTGTAGAATAAAATAGATTCAGCTTTAGAAAGGTAAAATGGCCAGTTCCTATAAACGGAAGACAAATTCATGCATAGATTGAAACGATATAATGACAAAAATATATTTATTTTCTAGCTTGACTGGGTGTGGGTGTGTGGGGTGTAGGTAAGAGCAAGATTGACACCCACACCCTCAGTTTAACTCTTACACAATGGATAGGTTTTAATAGAAATAGGTGACCTTACTAATTGTAAGCGGACTGAAGCTGTCGATACCAGCCACATCAAACAAGTTTACTTTGTTTTGGAGTTTGATTTTTAATAAAAGTCAGTGACCCTGTACATTATAATTCACTGTGAAATTAAATTATTCCATTTATTGAACTGTAGTCGATCATTTCAACACTACTGGTGTTAGTGTATCCGTAAAACTTAGAACATCGATAAACAAAGGATGAAAGCTCTCGAGTCCTCGATGTTGATTGAAAAGAAGCGAGAAAAAAAACACAAGGAGCGAGAGCTGATTTTCTGCTTACCAAATTATCGGAATCAGGCAAAATCAATGGCGAACGTGTGGGCATAAACATAGATCTTGCCATCACAGTCACAATAATACTATCACTCTCACACGCTTAATAAATAGCATGAAACGCTTGGAAGAATGGCTCTGTATTTTATTAATTATCAAAATGGGCTTACTCAAAATAAGAACCTACTTTTAGTTGGACTCAATCGATTTCCGAACAGAAGAATTGCAATTCCCATTTAAGAGTTGTATTCCGACTCAGTTATCATCCCTTTAAACCATCCTGTAATTAATATTTCAATGAATGTAACATGAAATTCTATGCCAACCCAATATAGCCCTTGTATGACGTAGAATAGCCATGCTGGGTTTAGTGGTCGACCGTGCTTCAGAGACTCAATAAGATGCTTTATATGAGAAGCTTATATGGCTAAATCGAACCATATGAAGCCAAAATGAATCGTAATCAATAGCGAGTATAAAACAACGGACTTTTAATTTATGCGGCAGCAGCCTACTATCAGAAGAAACCATTGGTATAAGATAAGAACGCCAGTTAAACAGCATGCCGTTATGGTGATCCCAGGGTTATAACAGCCACCATCATTATTGTCCTTGTACGAAAACCAATATATGTTCAATAGAACAACAGTAATTTTCATGATCGCAAATCCGTAAAATAATAAACGCTCGTAACGTTCAAGACCAATTGTGATACCAAAAGAATCTTTTTTATCTTTTCGGCAATGAATGAGTAATACAATAATAAGCATACATACTGATAAAATTATCGACAACACCCCATATAAACATTTCGTGTTGATTGCACTAGTATCGAGCAGATCAATTCCGAACATGATACCAATTACTGCCAGACCTACTAGAATAGTACAGAGCGCTCCACTGCAACAAAATTTACTGAAGTGTGCTTCTATTTTTGCTAGATGAACATCTCGACTTCTTACAATGCCGTCCAACACCATAGTGGGTTGCTTCACCGAAAAGAAAGAGTAACAACATAGACTGATCTAAAGTAGCTGTTAGCGCAATCCCTTCGGGATTAAAATGTGAAAAATGACGTAGCTGTTAATGTTGATCCGAAAAAATTATTAATCTATATATTTTTGAACTTTCTATTTCATTATACTTTAATGCACCACCTACACGTGAATAACGGAAATAGGTCATAGATTTCCTGATATTCTGACATTATGTGGTCGTTCACTGTACGATGGCGTCCACTAGTACTCGTCTACATATATCATAACTGCTTCTCTTTCTCCCCGAATTTGCTAACCCATTTGTGATAGATCCAATGCCTGTCTTTTAGGGCATGTCAAAGGTAATTAACTAATTATAACGCAATCGGCTGATTCATTAATTAGAATATATGTGGAGGAATCTAGCTTCCTACCCTTAAGGCCTCAACTATCTATTTGCCTCAGACAAAGCTTATCTGTAACGGTCTGTGATGGTACCATCATCTAAAGGTAACGATCTGTGACGGCGTCATCAACAGTCTGTAGCTGTCTGTGATGGTAGCACTACCTGACTGAAACCGTATGTGCTGGTATCATCACCTGTGAGTTAAATGTGCCAGTCGTACAGCTGAGCCGCCGCATCAGCCGATTTTTCAATAATATCAGCCGCCGCAGCCACCAAATTAGTAGTAATTTTAAGAATTTTGGGGGAGCCGCCGCTGCGAAAAAACAAGTTTAGC